GACTAGCGACCCTCCCTGCTTCCCTGAGCTTGAGACTAGCCGCAAAATCAGCCAGGTAGTAAAATAGAAAAGTTTGCATCACTATGGGCGAGTCTTAAAACAGAATGTAATTATTTGTGTGTTATTTTCAGGGAGATTGAGTAGCAATAAAATGAACTCACGTTCTGCGATTCCTACAGTCGTCATCTTCGCCGTGACAACTGGAGGTTCTGAAGAAAGTGAAAAGCAAATACATTGGAATTAGGAATCCACAGATGCATTATTTTAAGTAAGAACGTTGACTTGACTGTCATGAAATAGTCACATCGCTCTGTGTATACCGTTTCACCTTAGATGTCTGGAGCGTTGGTGTACACAATTTAACTGTCACTTGTTGAAATGACATCAGTCTCATGGTTAATGATTTTCGCTTCTACTGTATATATACGTATGTATATTCGTCTACTGCTTAGCCCTAGAAAACGCCTACATTTCTTTCATTCGGTCAATAATCATTTGATATTCGCTTGATCATCCCATCCTAATAGAATTCCCCTGAATAGAATGGTAGTATTGTTGACCTCTCATCTATCATCCTGAAGATGAAACAAACATTCCCACCCACATTCAGAATACACTCCTACTCCTTCGTTAACCCTTCTACACAGATATACGACAATAACATATGTGAGAGGGCTATCTGAACTGAAATCAACTTGCAGATCGGATACTGACTGCATCAGTCAGTTCACTGACAAATTCACTCTCACGAGTATTGACACATCGCAGAAAAATGACTTCGTTTCTTTTCAATCATTGGTGGCAAGTAAACTGGACTCACGTGTCGTGGCTTCTACAACCGACGCCATCTTCTTTACTGTGGTAACTGCAGCTTCTGAGAAAAGTGAAAATCACTAGAATTCGAATAGGTCATTAAGAAATTGACAATGATAATCAACTCCGTATTGGAAGGTTCACACTGGCCGTATGGATCACAGGTGTTGAACTCATCTTTTCGTGTATTCTTCACAATGACAACTTATCGGGCAACACATCCAACTGAGATGTTCCACATTCTTGAGAAAAAACTCGTTCCAGAAATTTCAGAGACTGAAAATGCAGTCGTCGAGAATGAGGTCTTTCTCGACCAGTGCACTCAACACCACCCTCCGTCTCTATACCCATTCTTTCACCACTTTAACAACCAGAAACTCGCCCACTTAAGCGAACATGTACGGACTCACTCACACACACAGCCACACACCATGACATCAGTTATCAAACTGGGAACGATGACTCGGACTAAAATCATTCTGGCCTCGAATGGAAGCGCGTAATTGCAGGTAAATTTATGTGTGTGTCAGTCTGTGAATATGGTGATGGCTGAATGTGTGAGGGAGGAAATATGCGTAAGAGGAAATCTATTTGCGTGTGTGGTGCGTACTGCGAGCATACAGAGCATGAACTGGTCTCACCTGTTTTTTTTTCTAGACCATCCTCCTTCCGCGAGATCACTGGACGTTCTAAAGAATTTGGAAAGAGCATGTATTTAGACACTCCATTGTTAAATTTATTAAACTGTTCAAAAATACACATGGATGTTTTAGCAAGTGGCTTCCTCAATTGGCCTTTGTGTGGCACCACATGTTTCCTCTATTTATTCTCAAGATCTATGACGAAGTGACTACGGTTAGAGGACCACTGGGAAGCAAGGAGTACGTGGAGTCTGTTCCATACTATCTTCACACTCTCAAGCGATATGCAGCAATCATCGTACCGAGGATCAGACCGACTAATTTCAGTTTACAAGGAAAGCTCGTAGGCCATCGATTCATTGGGATGAAATTCAATGTCCCGACCATCAATTACAACTTCTACTAACATATATATTTTCTATTTGTTTTATTCAATTAGTTCAGCGTTTTTATTCTGGACTCACCAGTGGTTATTTCTTCTTCCTCATCTTCTTGATAATTGTGTTTTTCCTGGTTTCCTGAAAATAGTGTTTACTGGTTTAACATATGCATGTTGATATCTCTATTTATGTGAACAACGTTTCATTCTCAATCACTTTCACTCTTTTTCTTATTTTATCTGAGCCCTAACTTCATTGTGTGCTAATAACATGATTCAATATGTAGTAAGTCTCCTGCAAGAATAGTGAGTAGTCGATTATTGGGGTAAACGGCGAAGTAGAGGAATGAGAAGATTTTTAAAAAACTTTATATAAGTCAACTTGATATCTTAAGGTTAGGTGATCCAGTGTCAAGGCTATTTCGCACATTGTCATATTAGGCTCGGTGATTCGTGGACGAATGCTAGCTGGATAAACAGTCATCATCGCTCGACGATTCTGATCCCGAAATGCATATCTCGTATTCTGGACAATCAACTTCTCGTTTCGGCTTGTCTGACTCTGGTCTCAGTGGGACGAGTATTTTGGGAGTTGAAGGCGAAACACTTGCGAGTGTGTAAAGTGTGTCTCGTGTAATTTCTGTCATAATTATAGGACATGGAGAACAAGATATTTTAAACGCTGGAATACTTTTGTGTATTTTTATTTGTGTGTATTTCGTGCAGCTTCTCGTTGTAATTTTCATTATGAACACCCTCATTTATCATCTGAGTACGCTATCCACTTGCAGGACTAAAACTGAAAGTTAACTGAATGCAAATTAGAGAAAGTGGAGATGGACAAGGATAAAGCTGGTTGATCCCAAAAAGACCGGATATATACAGGGTTCGGGTGGTATTGATGAATCTCCAACGCTTTCGCTACAAACAAAATCGGAAAACTGACACCATTTTCAGCTGTAAAGAAAGCTTTCCTCAATGATCTCCCTAACCTATTCTTCCCGGATAGTGGGTTGTGAAATACTATTCTACAGACTCGCCAAGAAGCAGTCTGCAAGTAAAGGACCCAGTGGTGACCGCGTTGCCACTACATCCCTTTGTCTAAAGGGTGTGTTTGTTGAACCTGAACCTATATTAAGAGTGCACCTTAACAGTAGTTCCTTTAAGTGGTGAATCGGAATACACACGCCCACATTATTATCCTCAGTAAATTCGCATATAAAGCAAATAGTTTCAGTGAGAGGAACATTGGTGAAAACGGACACAACATCCACGGAAATCATTTTACTCCCTGATACATCAGAATCAGATATTGAATCAGCGAATTCAAAAGAATCAGAAACACCATGCTGACAGAGATCAGTTCTGATAGGTAGACGAATGTCCGCGATCCATTCGGCAGTAGCGTGATATGAATAATTTGTCATATCCAGGATTGGACGTGGTGGCTGGTCCGTTCTATTTGTGAAATTTCGGTAGACCGTATGACTGGGGATTCACGGAACCTGAGGGTAGTATTTGCTTAAATAATAATTCAGAGCCAGTAATAGATTCGCTGTTCTCCTTATCCAGCATTTGCGTTCTCTTCCTTTCAGTTTGTTCCGTTTAGTCTTTCTGGTTATTTTCTTTAAACATTGTGTCGACGCAGTCTTGGCGATTCATCGAGACGACGCCAGCACACGCATCGAGGTGGGTCAGAACCAAGTCTTAACTGCTTGAAATTTCATGTAGTTTTTTTCTGTGGTTGGCTGAAATCAATCCTGATATGTTGCATAATCAAGAGAATAAAATCTATACTGACCAGTACATTTAGCTGTTTGAATTGATGGGCGTGGAGTAGACTCCACAACTGAAAAGCTAAGGTGAGTCATAGAGAATAAAGCACTTCAGGAAATGCTGAAGCACAATCTGGTTGTCTGTGCTTATAAAACAGTCGCATAATACTTGGTAGTTATATATGAAATAGAAACATAATTGTTTGTCATTGTGTTTCTCGCATATATTCACACCCGACTGGCTCTTGTACAACTTTCATCTGACTTCCTGCATTCACTACCTACAACAGCTTATTCCTCCGAAATATTCCTAATTACTTTCATTCTCGTGGAGTACGTTGAGTGTGGGGCAGTGGTTGTGTGGTAGAATAATGGGTGAACACATCGCATGTGGTCGGATATTCGATCTCCGGACAACGCACTGCAAAACCTCGTTTAGCCGCTAGTGAGTGCTGGTGAGGAAATGAGGTTCCGTGTCAGTCTAGCATCCAAACCCTGTGAAAACAAACTTCACTCCTATCGAAACTTCACAGCCAAAGCCTGAAGCCCTGTGTTACACTCGGAACGCGAACGGAACGCAAATAACGCAATAAATTACATTTATGTACATATACATATTAACTCATGAAATTGAACTCACCTCTTTCATAACTGTATGAATCTTCATTCGATTCGCGATGCATCTGTATACAGTGGAAGATGGACTTTTGTTATTCTCGTAACTGAGGACAGAAAAGTGAATGGAATGCAAATGGTCAGTAGTCCATGTTAAATATGTAAACAAACAAGAATACCTATGTAATATAAACTAGATATAAGATTCCAGGCAACAAAGAATATTGTTTCTCCGACTTCCTGTTAAATTCCTACATTTAAATAGTGTTTTGAAAAGTCATGGAAATGCCTGGAAATGTTAGTTACTACCAACGTTTTTTAGTAGTTTTTTCCTTCATGTTCCCAGTGGAACATAGGGCTTCAAGCTAATGGCTTGATATTTCTGTAGCAGTGTTTGTTTTTACAGGATAAGGTTGCTAGCCACATGCCCAATCTTCTCTCTTTACCAGCATTATTTCTGGCTTAGTGAGGTAAAGGAGTGAGTCGGCCATGGATCGAACCCCGATATGTGAAATCACATATCAGTGTAATGCAATGCGTCCGATGCCAGGTGACTGTAGGTGGCTGCTGTGGTATCTTCAAACCACCTTGACACATGGACTTGCAAGTGCGAGTCATTCGATGGAAAACCATGACAGGTGGTAACATGTGTACGTGCATTCGTCGGGAATCCTCTTCACTTAGAAATGAGTGGATTGAGAACATGCATTTTACTATTTTGTGTCAACTGTATACTATTGAATGTTCACGAATGTTTTCAGCACAAAATCTACTCACCTCGATTGTATGTTAGACTCCTCTTTGCCTTGTCATAGGGAACGGAGGCGATTTTTGACTTTGCAATAATGTTATACTTTTCAAGTTTGCACGACCACCCAATTACATTCAATTCTGCTGTATCACCAGAGAGGACGTCGACGGTGTCATCTAAAGCCCAGTCTACTTCTCGTTCCAATACCAAGTATTTAATGCCTTCTTCAACAAAACGATTCCATCCGAATACTAGGGAGTCCGTCTTTTCTTGAAAAAGCCAGAATGTTCTACGTTCTCCTGGAATAAACGCATTTACATGAAAGTGTTAAATAAAGTCGAGAATAAAAATTTGGACTAGCAACCTATCTTTAGACAGTACTATTCATTTATCGTCAAGATTGCAGTCACGATTACGTCGTGTTCCATGGTGGAGCAGAGGCGAGGAGATCTTTTCTCTCATGCATTAAATCATAACGGTTAGTGTTGTATCTTACGTTTAGATAGCGATCACTGGGTACGCCAAACACTCCTGTTTCCAATGGAGCAGGTGAATCGGTAGATGCACATCGCGATCCAAACTCGACTCTCGTCCTATTTCAGTTGAACTCTACTCAACCCTCAACTTTATTACTTTAATCAACTGACTTATTTCATTTTACTTCAGTTTTTCCATCCAATGAACGCATTCCATATGGCGTAATTCGTGACTCAAAATTTTCAAAATTGATGACTCATATTCTAAAATATCATATCCGTTGGTAACGTCATTGGATACATTTATATATATGATTCTACAGCTTGAGAACAATATGGCCGAGAAGATGAACTCTTCGCTGAACGTCTTCTCCTTCATTTACTATTCTAATCACACAATCAGTTTGAAAAGCAACACCACTTCAATTATATCTGGAAACAGATTAGTTCTGTCAAAAACTACTATCGAAATAAAACACATAATGAAACGAGCTGTTATCGACACTGATTCAGTTGGATTTTTCAATCAGTATCCACATAATTATTAATTCGACTGTCAATTCTCAAGTGGGGTGAGTGTACTCATGCTGCACAACACTGCTACGGATTGTGATGTGATGCAATGTATGGTGTTATTTGACATTTAGAGAAATAAGTTCCCACCAGTATCTGACGTGAACGTGATGTTTATCAAGTCTGGAAATGCGGCCTGTTAACAAGTTCATTTCTGCATTCCGTTGTGTTTCGAGTGGATTATACAACTTCAGTCTGGAGCTATGGTGATTCAGTAACAGTGTTATGTTTAACTGGTTGGGGTAGTCAGTCCTACGCTCAAGCTTTTCTCTTTAACGGGCGCACCCCAGGAATATTCAGCTTTAGGAGCGCATGATCAGCAACCACACCACCACTGAACCATTGACGTACGGTCAGTTTCCTGGGAGGCCAAGTACGCACAAAGCCTAGGCACTTTACTTATCAGGAATTAACTTCTTGCAGTCGTAAACTAAACCATCATTATCATATCAGGTTTCATTTATTGTTACATGAAACAACACTGCAGGAATTAGTCAGTTTCATCTCAAACATCTTATCTACACCCTGCCAAATAATATACAATCCTATATAAAGATAAGATAAGATAATAGCTTTATTCGAAAACAGTACTTGTGATACAGAATGGAATTCTCAGCATTTTACTACAATATTGCATCCAGTTAGTACATTAACAATAAATAAAGTTCTACATAGATTAAGGTTATCTCAGTTAGTTTTGACAACAACATATTAGCATGTCGGTAGCAAAGCCAAGATTAAACAGAGTGTTAGAAAAGTATTTATATCAAAATACACTCAAATTATATGTACTTTAATGACAAATATCAAATATCAAAAGACAGAAGACTTACCTCTTTCAGCATTGCCCTCAAGATATTCAGGACTAAAAGTGTCAACCTGCTCTGGTACCAGTAGATTGACTATGAAAGCAGACAAAAGAAATACTTCACAATGTTTACAGTGACTAATAAGTTTCTAATTTCCATCGAAAATAATTCTTGAAGTATCACCACAAAGCACATAGTATAGTGAATGAAATTCAACTGGATAGCAATTTCAAACAAGACGACCATCATTAGTCAGCTTTCACTGTAGTCCGTTCTCAATTATTTCCTCATCTGAGAAGTGACCACTATCGTGTGTCTAGTCCTTCCGTCCATTGTCAATTAAACCCAATCATTCAAGTTTGCAATATGCATTGGAACTCTTCAGCAAGGCGAATCTCACTCCCTAGATACAATTCATGCCCCATTTGAGACTTTAGCTCGCGAAGCAGCACATTCTCTTGTTAAACTCATTACCGATGAGCAATCAGGACTCACGATTGAAATTCTCTAAGACACTAATCGATGTATTCAGATGCGATGTGACATCTAGGTTCAAAGCTTGCAGATAATAATAATAATAATGATTTACTTTATTCCAAAAACAGTACTTGTGATACAGAATGGAATTCTCACCATTAATCACAATATTGCATCTAATTTCCTCAAATTATAGATAAAAATTAATCACACAGAAAATTTTCACATTTACAATAGAGGTAGTGTCAAAAACATTCAGCATATAAAATGGAAATAACAATAATAGAGATAACAGCTAGGGTTATAATAATAATACAAGAGAAAATTGCCGTGGGCTTGTGTCACACAGTATTGGCAATGTGGTATAGAAATCCTAACATGTTTAGAAATATTGAGTATAATGTTCTCTTTACATGATATGGTGAGGGGAAAAACAAAGATTACTGCCCTCATGGAGATAAGTTGGTGTTTGCAATTATGAGAGTAAAACAGAGAAGTAACAGGACCATAAATATAATAGAAGTAATAAAAGTAAAACTTGAAGGTATATAAGGATGGATGGAGGAAATCGTTTATTTACTAGATGAAAAAATGTTAGTTAATTGTTGCCTGACACTATTTTCATCAAATATTTAAATACGTGCCAATGGTATCATAGAATTTCTATACTTAGACGTGCGAGCATACAGTTTTATGAAGTTACTCCTTGTTCTATCTGAGGAGATGCAAGGTGAAAGCTGAGGGTAAAGCGGATGCTCCAAGTTAGACAAAATCCCTTTAGCAAATTTATTGCATGAAGTCAAGTGCCCATCGACAACGACATTAACTATGTGGTCCACTGCGACACCACTCACCCTACTGACAGTCTTCAGTATTCTACGAATTGTGACATAGTCCTTTTTAAACAAACCAGGAAAGAATAAGGGTGAACAGTAAAGAAGAATAGGTGGGATGCAAGAGTTTATGAACTGTAAGAGGAAGGGTTGAGTTATACCCGAGTGTCTTAACTTCTTAATGTAAAATGTCAAGCGGAATATTTTACTGGAGATTGCTAAGACATGGGAAGACCAGGAGAGATCAAAAGAGAGAATGAGTCCAAGATACTTAATTTCTGATTTGATTCCTATATCATTGTCGTCAATTTTACAAGTGTCATGAGAATCGATGACTTCTTTTAACTGTCGTTTACATCTTAAGCTGAAATCAACAGTTTGACACTTAGAAGGATTCAGTTTAAGACCGTTAGACTCAGACCATTTGCTGACTTCCGATAGAAAGCTATTTATTTTAGTACAATCTAGCTGGGAGTTAACAGCCATTGAAACCGTTAAATCATCAGCGTACTTCACAAAGTTTATTTCATCAGAGTGAGGCAAGTCATGCAAGAGGAAAGAAAAAAGAAAAGGAGAAAGAACAGCACCTTGAGGGACACCAGCTTCAGTAGGCAATGAAGTGGAAGACTTCCCATTATATACGGTGTACTGCTTTCTATCTGAGAAATAGAAATGTAACCAGTTAACAGCCCAACATTCTGTTTGACTAGCTGCAAGTTTATTTAATAAGATGTCCCTAGGGACCGAGTCAAAAGCAGATGTATAGTCTAGGAAGGCGCAACGAACAAATTTAGCCCCCTTGTCTAGACTGGAAGCAAGGTTATGATATAAGACGGCAGCTGCATCTAAAGTGCTTCTACTGTGCTTATAGGCGAATTGTTTAGGGTCATTAAAGGATTTAAGCGAAGGTACAAGACTAAGAAAAAGTAATTTCTCCATAGTTTTCAAAAAAGGAGAGGTAACAGCAATGGGTCTAAATTTGACACATGCTCCAGTGGATGATTTAGGTATGGGTACAACTTTAATGTCCTTCCAAACGGCAGACACAATATTATCGGAAAAAGATTTGTTAAATAGATCAGTAAGAGGGTGACACAGAATATCAGAACATTTTTAAAAATAATACTAGGTACATAATCGGGACCTAAGCTCTGGGAAGGGTTTAGAGACTTGAGGCACTTTTGAACATCATTTGTGTTAAAACCTGGAAAGGGGCTATATTTAACACAAGTGATGCTGGGAAGCATGGCATTTGAGGGAGAGTAAATAGAAGATTTGTTAAGAGTACATACATCAAAAGAATATGGAATATTGTTTATCTGCTTACCAGCAGTGATTTCCTTAAATAGTTTCCACATATTAGAAGGATTTTTGCAGGATATGAATTTCTGGTTATATATTACATTCAACCTCTGCATTTCAGACTTAATTAAGAAGTAAGTTCTTTTTACACCATTTTATCTTTCATCTTAGACAGTTTTTCCTTCTCTCTACGAAGCTTTTTAAGTTGAGGAGAGGAGAAACGGTCAAATTTGACGAATAGTGTTTCTTTTGGACAACAGATTTCAAAACAGAATTTCAGATAGGATGTAATATTAGAGATATTGCCATCAAGTGAATCATCATTAAACAAATCCCATCTGGTGTCACTGAGCATGTTTCTAAGATGATGTACGTTCTCATTTGAGTAGCATCTGTGAACAACTTTCTTAGACAAGTTTGAGAAGGCTTTACTGTGTAATTTTCCGTAAATTTTGGGTAAGACTCGTACAATACAATGATCAGAATTGAAGAGCGGGGCTCTTTTACGAGCTTCGTATATTCCAGAATCATTTATAAATACTAAATCAAGTGAAGTATTTTGTCGAGTTGGGAAATTAACAACATTTGCATGGCCCAGCAATGTAATAAAACTGCAGTCGCTGGAGTTGAAGTCGCCAGTCACTATAGATAAGGAGTTACCAAACGAAGCAGCAGCAAAAATAGTGAATTCATCGGCGAAGATAGATAGTTCTGAGGGACTGCAACAAGGTGTGATATAGATATTTGTGACAAAAATGAAGCTATACTTAGGTAAGTGTTTAGGTCGACATTTTACAGTTATACAGTCAATATTGTCATTTGAGAATTT